GGCTTCCAATTTTTATGAGAAGTTTCTATATTTTACACAGAAATGGGAGAAATGTGTTTTAAAATCTGACTTCAGAAATAGAGACAAAGATTTTTTTTTTTTTAAGATTTTATTTTATTTGTACATACAGAACTGGGGTACAGGCCAGAGGCTCAGGGCGGTGAGAGGCTTCACCAGAGACAGAGTGGGGAGCAAAACAGGCAGATCCATGAAGTACACTGCTGAGGGGAGCAGCGTGCGGCACAGGAGAGGTCTGCCACGCCATGTGGTCACCTCCAGGGTGGGTGGGGATCGAACTCATGCAGAAATGGCTTTAGCTTCTCAATGCAGTGCTTTAACCCGCTGCGCCACCAGGGAGGGCCTATTTGTAGCAGTCTTACTTGTGATTCTCAGTTGTCTTTTATCTATTGCCAATATGGATATTTATAGCTGTGAGGCAGATTGGAATAAAAATCTGCATGTCTTATGGTAGCTAATCAAACTTTTATGGGGAGATAAAGTTCAACCCAGAGGAGGAGTTGATGTAGAAGATAGTGTGGTAGGAGGAGCAGGGGGGACAGCAAGGAGGGGAAGGTACAGCCAGCCGTTAGGACTTGCAGAGGCCGAGACGAAGGAAACCCAGCTTATTGAGCACACCCCATCCCCACAGAGTACATTGACAGAGTCCTCCCCAAGATCAAGGGCTCCAGTACACCTCTTAATGACCTTTTGGGAGATCTGTACCATGCAGAGCTGGTACTGGTATTGGTGATGGTGTCCTTCAGATAGTAACAGGACGGGGGTAGAGGTGAGAGCTGAGAGATTCAACAAAGCTATAGTAGTTGTAGAGAGGTTGAATAATTGAATACTCAAGCTTAGACTAGCTCATTGTAGTCTTTACTGAGCTGCCACTCATGAATGCCAGTGTGGCTGAGGTGGCTCCTTGAGTATTTGTCTTCTGTGAAGCCTTTGGTGATTCTTCCATATCAGAATCCTGGATCCTCCTGCCTTCCATGGTATTTTTGTCCCCATTTTCTCCCTTAGGTTTATAGCAAGTAGTTAACCGTAACTGCCTGTTCTACCACATTAATCTCCTGGCAGCAGATACCTAGCCTTATTCATCGCAGTTTTTTTCACAACCCATAGTTTGTTGGGTTATAGTCCCTTTTTGTAATAGTTACTCAGTAAATCTCACTGAATTAATTGAACACAGCTGACTGTGTCCATGGAAATCCTGCCACTAGTATCTGTGTTTATAGATCGTGTACACTTCCATAAAACAGGATAGTGTCCTTGGAGAAACAGAGCTTTATCATTAGAAGTAACATATAACATGTAACAACTAGGCTATAGTTGGGCATTTTTGGTTTTGATATAGCTTTTGTTGAGCTGCAATTTACATATAATATAGTTTACCTATTTAAAATAAATAATTCAATGGTTTTCTGTATTTTTACATTTATGAAACCACCACAATTGATTTTAGAAAACTTATACATCATTCCCAAAAGAAACCCTGTGCTGATAGCCTTCAGTCCCCATAGCCCTAGGAAACCACGAATCTATTTTTTTTTTCATCTCAATAGATTTGCCTATTCTAGACCTTGTATATTAATGGAATCTCCAATATGTGGCCTTTTGTGCCTGGCTTTTTTCACTTAGCATAATTTTTTCAAGGTACATTCATGTTGTAGCATATGTCACTAAGCTGTCTAAAGCTTAGTGGAAGCTGGTGAGCAAGTGTTATTTATCTCCTGGCTAGTGGTTGTAGTTCAGGCTAATGTGAGTTTGCCCTACCTACTCTCATTAAAAATATGGCCTCCCTGGTAGCAGAGCGATTTGAAGCACAGCACTAAGAAGCTGAAGCCACTTCAGCATGAGTTCAATCCCCACCCCGGAGGTGATCCACATGGTACGGCAGACCTATCCTGACCCAACCGCTGCTCTTCTCAGCAGTGTATTTTGTCAGTCTGCCTGTTCTGCTCCCCACTCTGTCTCTGGTGAATCTTCTCACTGCACCTGTACCTCTGGCCTGTACTCCAGTTCTGATTGCATAAATAAATAAGTCTTTAAAAGAAAATAATCAGATCTTGGAGAAGATTATTGGGATATTGGTGGTGGGCACAGTGTGAAAACATATTTGTAGAGGTTTGAAACTGCAACCCCTAAAACATTACAATAATGTGAACCAACTTTATATTAATAAGCATAAAAGAAGAAAGCCAGACTTGGTTAATGGAAATTCTGTGGCGGTATGCTGAACTTGCATCCCTGAGTAATTATGAGCATTCAAGTAACGTCTGTGAGTGCCTAACATGATACCTCAGGTCTTGTATAAGGGTCTCAGTAACTTTATGTGTACCATTTCAACTTTTTAGATTTTAATAAGGACTTGTCAAAATCAAGCAATAGATAAACTTTAAATTGGTATTTCCAGTTAAATTTACTCCCCCACCCTTTTGTTTTTGTTCTCCCAAGGCTATGCCTTTCTGCTGTTCCAGGAGGAGAGCTCAGTACAAGCTTTGATAGATGCTTGCCTAGAAGAAGATGGGAAACTCTACCTGTGTGTGTCAAGCCCCACCATCAAGGATAAACCAGTAAGTAATATGCAGCCAGCTGTTACTTTTCCAGAAATCATGTGCAATTTAATAACTGATCGTCTCTTTTGTAATGAGAATGCTGGCAACTCGGAACTACTTACACAGGGTAACGTTGCTGTGCAGTGAAGCGGGGCAGTTGTTGATGGGAAACTCATAACCAGTTACACAGTATTTCATTTTACACCTTTAGGAGTGCTTGTAAACAAATATGCCCTTGTCTTCATTCACAGCTCTTTTAACTAATTCTTATTTAGAAAGTCAGACTTGAAATAAATTATGTGCTTAGTGGTTTCAGAAATTGATTTCTGTCATTATTTCAGATCCAGGACAGGAATAATTTCTTTCTTTTTTAAAGATCATAATTGTCAGTGTTTATGTGCCTTTGAATACAAGGCATTGTGCTGGGTGGCATTCAAAGATAGCTAAATAGAGCCGTCTGGGTGAGGAGCATCTACTCCAAAATGATGACTTTGTATAGAGCAAGAGAGGGAAGGTGGAGAACATGGAGCCAGAATTTTAAGTAAATGTATGCCTATGCAGAGTTTGTGGTTTGTTATCTTTAAGATTTGCTGTTATTGATTTATGTATACTAGAATTAGGTGGGGGGGGGCATAGGGCAGAGTGTAGGTCAGGGATGTGGGTGGTGAGAGGATTCACCAGAGACAGAATGGGGAGCAGAACAGGTGGATCTATTGAAATACACTGCTGAGGGAGCAGTGGGCAAAGCAAAGAGGTCTCCTGCTCCATGTGGGTCAACTGCCTGGCTGAGGATTGAACCCATGCTGCAGTGAACCAAGGAACATAAGTGAGGAAGTCACTGAGTCAGAGAGAAAGAAACTTCTCCTTCCTCGTTACAGAACTGGAGAAAAGTATGTAGATAACAGTAAAAGTAGGCATCTGTGAGAACTTGGGAGGAGGGTAAGTTTGTATGACAAGATTTGATTCTAGGAAGGGGGATAGAGTAAAAATAGTGATATGAATGGGCAGAGGACCAAAGCAAGTCTCTACCACGGCACCTCTGTGATATTTTACAAGGTGTGGATATTTTTTTGGAGAAGGTTTATTTATTTTTTATGCATACAGAACTGGGGTACAGGCCAGAGGTGAGAGGAGTAACCAAAGACAGAGTAGGGAGCAGAACAGGCAGACTGACAAAGTACACTGCTGAGGGGAGCAGTGGGGAAAACAGGAGAGGTCTGCTGTGCCATGTGGGTCATCTTCCTGGTGGGGATTGAACTTGAGCTGAAGAGGCTGTGGCTAGCTTCATAGTGCTGTGCTTTAACCCATTGCGCCACCAGAGAAGGCCCAAGGAGTGGAACTTTTTGACAGCTAAGTTTATTCTCATAAATGTACATAGGGAAAGAGTTGGGGTCAGACATAGAGTTCCCCTGAGTCTTCATTGTAGCATTAAATAATGTTCTGAATAGTCATGTATAGTCATGTAGTCCTCAAAGAATCTTGGTTTCTTCATCTGAAAAATTAGAAAAATAATTGTTCCTCTCTGGGCTGTTCAGAAGCTCATATAAAAAGAAAATGAGTGTGAAAGCCTTTTATGAGGTCAGGTACTTGTGCAGATGTAATTGGATAGAGTTCTAGGACTCTCAAGAGCAGGAGTCGAGCCCAGCTAGACTGTAACAGCTGTCGAAAAGAATGGTGATATCTACAACAGGGTTTATAATTGTTTGCCAAAGAATGATGTGGGCAGTTGCAGAAAAGCTAAAGAGAGAGTTCCTAAAGAATGGGGATATTGAGTCATGTTCGAATAACTGATGCAGAAGAAGCTAGGATTTAGCAAGTGTCAAAGTGTCTTTGTGAGTTTCTAACTCTGGGAGCATTGCCAACTTTTTATATCAACAGTGACAGCATTGAAGAAAGTAGCTATGCAGGTGGGGAAGAAACAGTAGGTGGGCGAAAAGAGTAGGGAACCATTGTCACCTTTGGCCTTGATTTAAGCAAAGTGGAAAGGTTGTGTTTTATGAGAGAGGGATGGGAAATGACCAAACAGGAATGTTCAGTGCTTCATCTGAGCACATAATAAGAAAGTGGAAATAAATTCTTTAAGTCTCTGAGATAATGATGAGATCAGAAAGACTGTACTCATTAAGACTGGGTCAGATGTCTGTGTAAATGGTCAATCTCCAGAGAGATTCTGCCATGGGCATATCCCATAAAAAGGGGATGAAAGTGAGCCATGAAGAGTTAAAGTGGGATTAGAAAGGATTAGAAATATATTTTTATATCTTAAAAAGGCAGAGGGGTAAAGGTACACATTGAAGTTGTTCTGCCCATTGTAGATAAAAATGTCAAACTGTGGGGAGGAGACTGGAATTAAGCAGATGGCACTAGTGTACCTTGGGAGGGTCACATCACTGATTCTGTGGGAGCAGTATAACATGCTGTGTCAGAGAAAGCCCACACAGTACCAGATCTCTCTTGAGAGTGGAATGAGTAGTGCTGGTTTACAAGTGGCAGTGGAATAACGGCAATACCACAACTATTGAGGGTTTTCTCTCAAAATTGCATGCTACTCTTGGCATGAAAGACTTTTGAAAATAATTAGTGTGAATATCTGTTTTGGAAATGTTTAAGAAGAAACTAACTTTTATTGTTAGTATTTCTATAAATTTCTGCCTTATTGCTGAAATAAGTTTTCATTTTCTGAGCTCGAGTGAGGCAGTTTTGTTGAAGCTTGGTGAATTCTGAGTGGTAACTACCAATCATATATTTCTCAAAACTCAAAATTTCCAGCATTAACATCTTGACTAAAACTTAGGATGGGAAACATCCCCAAATACCTATAATTCTAATATAATTCTAGATTATCGTTTGGATTCCAGCTCTTTTGAATCCATTTTTGAAACTATCCCATTCTTGATTTAAGCTCCATGTGCCCCACTCCCAGCCTTATTTGACCACTTCCCTACACCATTTTCTGTACAGTCCTCCACACTTTCTATTCTCCCACAGAAAGTGAGAGCTGAGTTAAATGTGGTAGTAAGTGAGGACCTTGGCAATAACTCAAGGTAAAATCAGTCTTTGGGCCTTATTTCTTAGCATGGCTACCTTTCAGAATGCTATGCCCTCATTCCGTTTAGTTCTTATGAATTCTCCCTGGATTTCTCCTTTGAAATATACCATGTTCTGAAATGAACACAGATTTTCTATTCTTTGTCCTTCTTCCATATCCCTCCCCACCCATGTCAAACACCAATTCCCTTTGTGTGGATTAATTCAGTCAGAATTTTTTTTTTTTAATACAGAGACTGGTGTCAAGGTCCTCTTTCACTCTTTCTAAGATTATATTTGTTTTTTAACTCAAATGAACCCCTCTTTAGTGAGTGTTAGATAGTACTAGGGAGATATTTTGGTTGGTATTTCAATTAAATGACTGCATTCAGATTATTCTATGTGTAGGTCTGCCCCTGAAAGATGGCAAAAGGAACTATATTTATCCTCTGAGTGACTCTTCAGTCCCAAAGAATCGGATGAGCAGGAGTTGTTACTACAAAGTTTCTAGATCTGTGATCCCCACCCCCCTCCAGCAAGAGCAGTGTCATAGCTCAGATGACTCAGGCAGCCTAGAGGATAACCGTGACCTGTGCAGGCTTCCTTTGAAGCAGGCAGACATTGTGACTGTGATCCCTCTCATCAAGGTGACTCTACTTTTTGAATGTATAAGTGGGCTGAGTTGAAGACAGCAAAATGATATAGCAGGAAACCTAAGAGGATGTAGCAGAGAGAAGCTAAAATAGAGTAACCTTGCAAAGAAGGTGAGGGAGGAGACAAACACATTCTAGAACAGTTTGGCCAGAGATGTGGGATAACAAATATCTTGAAAACAGGATCAAAGAACATTTCTTCTTCCTCTTTCTTTCAGTTTATAGCACAATCATGTCTATATATCCTGACATATGACAGATTGATTTTGCTATAGATTTAAAGCTATCATATCACACTGAAGTGTGTTTCTGTGGGATTAGTTCTCTAGGTTATTGCTCAGGTAACATGGTCATTTCACTTTAAAAATTGAGAGACTGGTTTAATTCCTTAATATTTAATTGTACTCAGGCTGTCATTCTGTTGTCTTCTACCCTTATTTGTGTATCTGTGGGACCACTAGTATTTTTTTAAAGATTTATTTATTTATGCATACAGAACTGGGGTACAGGCCAAGGGTGAAGGGGTGTTGAGAAGATTCACCATAGTCAGAGTGGGGAGCAGAACAGGCAGATCGACGAAGTACACTGCTGAGAAGAGCAGTGGGCCAGACAGTAGAGGTCTTCCGCACCATGTGGGTCACCTCTGGGATGAGGATCAAACTCGCAGTGAAGCTGTGCAGCCATCTTCACAGTGCTGTGCTTTAAACCCACTACGCAACCAGGGAGGGCCCTCACTAGTATTTTTTTTTTTAAAGATTTATTTATTTATTTGTACAGAACTGGGGTACAGGCCAGAGATGCGGAGGGTGAGAGAATTCACCAGAGACAGAGCGGGGAGCAGAACAGGCAGATCGAAGTACACTGCTGAGGGGAGCAGCGGGCGGGTCAGGAGAGGTCTGCCACGCCATGTGGTCGCCTCCGGGGCAGGCGGGAATCGAACTCATGAGGAAGTGGCTTTAGATTCTCAGTGCTGTGCTTTAACCGGCTGCGCCACCAGGGAGGGCCCCTCACTAGTATTTTTAATTACTCCTCTTTAACTACAAAAAAGCCCCCAGATCCTTTTGCCTGAGATACAAGATTTTCCCAGTCTGACTTCACATTTTTCCAAGCTTACTTTTTTTGTGTTTTTCTTTTGAACCCTACATTCCAACCAGCTGAACCATTTCTGCTCCCCTCTCAGTTTCTAATTTCTAACTTTATTTTAAGACCCCTCTCAACTGCCATCTCTTTCCAGAAATTTTCTTTGATTACTGTACCATTGATAGTGAATCATACCTAACTCCTCTCCAGCCTTCATGCAGCTTCTTTTTTAAATGCTGTCATCCTTCAAACTATGTT